AGATCCAATCCAATCTAATAAATATTTTAGACCGGATTGGTCTAATCCAATATGTCTTGTTGGTCCATCTAATCCGTCCAAATTGATTTTGAACTGGATGGGATCCAATTCAAAACCGGTCCATTAACACCCTTACCCACAACCTCCTTAAAATCTTATTCACTAAAAAACAAAATAATGAGCCTTTTGGTTCGGCATCTTCTGCTATTATCAAACAATCCAAGTATACTCTGAATCATTTCTAGGGGGATTTTTTATCCACCATGCAAAGAAACATTCTACTGAAAATTTTTACTGTATAAGGGAAAAAGGAAATAGGGGGAGAGGACAGTTAAATGGAGAAGAACTCTCATCAGTTTTCTGAGAGTAAGATTTACTTAAAAAGGAAATTGCGTAAGGCTATAACTTTCTTGGAAAGTAACATTCAATGGGAAAATGAGTCATGGTCCTAATTTTATTGCTGTTCTGCTTCATTTGGAAACATACCTGAATAATTGAGACTTTGGAAAATAGATGAGTGCTGCAACCTACGCATCAAGATAACCAATCTCTCTATTCGGAGAATGACTTGTGCAAAATCAAAAGAAATATCATTTTTCTATAACTAGTACTCACCTCCTGGAAAGTGTTTGTTTTTCACAGCTGTTTTTGTTGTCGTTTTCCTTTAGTTTACATGCAACCAAACACGGCTAGAGATGAATAGTCTTATAAACCCATTGAAAATATATTGATTTACTAGAATAGCTCCAATAGATGATAAAATGAGAGAATATAGACTAAAATGGTTAGATCATCAATAACACCTATTAATACGCGCAAAAGGTGATATTTAGTAATCTTTAGTAAGAACTGGGCTGTCAAAGGGGTCTAGGTTACAGTCGAGAACCAATTATTAATCAGGACAAATTCATAGACCCAAAACCGTTCCATTAATAAATAAGATAATCGGTTCTGAGCACATAGACCTGACTATATTTATACCAATAACTATAATTTGATTTTTGATAATACAACTTTAATAAAAACAACAATAAAATAGTAAATCATTTATATATATATATATATATATATATATTAATAAACAAAGTGCTTTTAACTAGAATTTATCTTATATTATTATCTATAAAATTTTCCATTTTAGATATAAAATATAACAAAAATAAAAAGAAGATTATGAAACCTTTATGTATTATTAAGAAAATTATTGATTCAGAGCAAACAATAATAAAAACCGGTCCAAATTATTAATCCAGACAAAATCATATAAACAGAATCAATTATAGCAATTGATGAGGGATAATTTCGTTAGTCAAATGATGTGATGACACTTGGAGTAACAGAACGATGAGATGACACCTTAGTGACCTCGGTGACCTCAGCAATCCCAACTATCTCGCACACCTCGGGTCACACAGTTAGATCGAGGCTCAAATAGCTCAACTATATGCACTAATCTGCCGAGTTGCCACGTAACCTCTATCCAGAAGCAAGCCAACTCTCTCTGATCTCCTCGAGATCATGGCACCACGTCAACGGAGTTCATCTTCTCCCCACCCGATTCAGATGGACCTGGATAAGCCTTAGCAGCCTATGCGGAGCCCGTCTTCGAGTGCGAAACCAACTGTGGACTAGACAGGTTGAGGATCTCGAATACGCATTGCAAGGCCCACGACAAGTTTCCTATATAAAAACCTTGCCTCCAACCTCACAAGATATGTGTGATTCAACTCTTAGACTAGCTATCTTACTCTCTAACTCTCTCCTAAAATCCCAACTTGCTAACTTAAACATTAAAGTATCCACCCAAATAAAACAACTTGAACACTCTCATATTGTCTCTTTAGAGATTGACCCAATAAACTAGCCAACTCGGTATCCCAATCACCTTCTAATAGAGCATAACTACATCGTGCATCATCAACAATCAAGTAGAACCGGTCCATTAATAGCCCTACTGCCTAGATAAGAATGGCTTCGATGTCAAGCTTTGAACATAAAAGGATATTTAGCATTTGAATATGACCACATGTTGTTACTTATTAGTACTTAACGTCTCCTGACTCTCATCGATCCAATAAACCATAGGTATACGTATTGATCTTTTGAAACTTACTCCAATATTAATAATCAAGATTGAAAAAGGCGAAGTGAAGGAAATTGTATGACATTTGCATTTATGATGCTCACGGAAAAAAGGTGACAAGGAGAAGACAAAACAGTCATCGTAGCTATAGTCAAACAAGAGCCCTGTGACTTATTCCATGTCACGTGGATGCATAATAACTATCATTTTCTAAATCATTCATTTCCAAGTATGGAAATAACACAGCAATTCTAGCGCCACGAGTATGGTTCACCCAAAAGAAAAAAATAAAAAATTTTTCGGTGTAGCCATTTCTTAGGGTTTATTTGGGAGGATTTATGGAATATTCTGTAGTGTGGATAAGAAATTAGTGGGTATGGACTGATCCACACCACACTCTGTGGCGGGGACCAATTCACATCACACCATAGGCCACAACTGTTCTGAATTGTGGACAAACTGTATAGACTGGACTAGTCCACACCCATAGTGGTGTTCTATAGTGTGGTGTAGACCAATTCACACCACACTTTTTTTATTCCATGTATCTCATGTACATTTTATGAATGATCTACATCAACATTTTAAAAAACGACCCAGAAACGAAACTGTTCTGGTCACCGGTTTCCGGGTCGATGGTCCATCTGTCCGATTCCAATGGACAACCCATTTTGACAAACAAATTAAAAAAATAAAAAAATAATTAAAAATAAAAAACGGTAAAAAACCATTGAACGGGTTGATGGTTTGATTGCTCGGGTCAACGGGTTGTTGACTTTTTTCAACGGTTTTTAGCCAAATTGGGTTTGGGGTAAAATGGAACCGCTTGCCTGGACGGTTCTTGGACTGAACGGTACAACTGTCCAAGTCAACGGCGGTTCGAAAACCTTGACCTACATAGTCAATCATAAATATCTAATTTTTGCATTTTATATGATAAATATATTGAAAAATGCATCAATGAATATTAACCAATAAATATTAATTTTTTTATAAAAACAACAGTAAAATAATTAAAAATTTTAAAAATATATTTTAAATATTTAAAATATAATTTTATTGATAAAACATTAAAATTTAAAAAAAAATCAAGTAAAATAATTAATATTTTATTGACAAAAATATTAAAATGTGAAATAGACAATAGGGTAGTCTTTTAGGGAAAGTGTGAAGTAGGGGATAAAAAATCAAGTGTGGACAGTCCCCAACCATGAGATTTTACCGTGGATGAGAAATTGGGGTGTGGACGGGACCTATCCACGCTATATTGGGTGGACAGGACCAGTCCCGTCCACACCTAGCCGAATGTGACCAAATCCCGTGGACGGGTAAGCGGTTCCGAACGCCGCCTTAACTAAGGATTCACTAGGGCTATGGACCATTTTTGGATTGGATCCCATTCAAACCAAAACCAATTTGGACGGATTGAATGGAATAATATGACAATTGAATTAGACCAGTTCAGACTTAATGGTCCAAAATATTGGATTGGACTTGATCCATCCGTAATAAATTTTTATTGGATTGGGTTGGATTGAGCCAATCTAATTCATTGGTAGAAGATAAGAATACAGCTAGCTGTCAATGGAGTAGGTTTGGGTTAGAATTAATGTAAATTAAAACAAATTTGAACAGATAGGACGGTCCAGACATTGAATTGGACCAATCCAAAATATTCATTGGATTGGATTGGACCACATTGGACTGGACCGGATTGGTCCAAATCCAGTCCAATTGACGCCCCTAGATTCAACTAACTAGTTCAGCTTTTAGAAAATTAGAAGCACTTTGAATAACTATTCAAAGAGGCTAATATAACTTATAGGCTGTCCGTGTGAACCCTCCTCAGAAAGTCAGAAGCTGCTACTCTTCAATCCTCTCAAATGGGCATTTGGGGCCTCTTTGGGAGGAGGGCTTAGCTGAAGGTTCAACTAAGCTATTTAACTATTTGAAGCGTTCTGGATAATCTATTGGTTAACAATTGATTTGAGCTCTTCGATTTTTTCACCAAACATAGTTTTGAGGCTATTCATATAGTGCCCACCTTGAAAAATCAGAAACTATTGTACTTGGGAGGGCTTTCATGCAGTGGATTTTGGGATTACATGAGCTGAGAAAATCCAGAAATCCATTAAACTATGTTTGGTAAAAAAAACCTAAAAGTCTAAAATAGGCTTACAGAGCCGAAAAATCAACTTTCTCGTAAAGTTGACTTAGATAGTTTCTCCAAAACTGTTCAGCCAACATAGCTGAAGCCCTCCCAAATGGGCCCTTAGTAACTCCTTCAAATCGGCTTAGTAAAAACAGTTCAATCAAGGCTTAAATCCTTACAAACGGCCCCATGGCCCATAATGCCATGGGCATAAACGATTAAACGAACGCGCGTTGCTCTTACGAAATCCTTGTCTTTTTTATTTTGATAATAATAAATAAATGAATAAGGTAAAAAGCCTGAGCATTTATTTAATGAGTAATGACAAATCTAACATCTAACATACCTTTCTTGATATCCATATCCGGCTTAATCGAACCAGGTTCGGACTATGTCCGATCCATTGACACCACCATGCAGCATTAGTCTTTAGTATCCATTCTTCGTGGTCTCAGAGGACCCAGACCGTCCAACAAGCACCAAAATGGTCAGGTCACAGAGTATTTAGAGATTGGGAGGCCCACAAGAATATCAAGGGTCGGAGATTGGGGCCCACAAGAATAAGCAATAGGGTATATATTCACATGAATCGTCCAATAATTTCCAGGTTTATCCGGGCCGGGTTTTGAGGATAGTGGCCCCCGCCCCATCAATGGACCTCCGATGATTCTCATAGATTCCGCCTGGGCCAAAGAAGAAAATAGCTGTAAATGCTGTCGGTTGGCTGAAATAAATAAAAGTCTAGTTGAGTCCATTGTTCAACATTGAAAAATCAAAATAAAAAAACTCTGGATTTCTTTCTGTTTCGAATGTGTTTGGTAATTTCATGGTTGCAGAGTCTCATTTACGACTGTTCCCTTCCTTGGATCTCTAACTTACAGCTTTCCCTCGTCACGTTTGAACAGATTGCTTCTTTAGTCAGTCTTCTATACGCATACGACACCAACTAGAAATTACAAAAGAATACATCTCCAAATTACTCAACCATCTCAATGATCTCATTGTACATTAAATTAATAAAAAATTTGTCAACAAATCCAGCTTTTGTTTTCAATATCTGAAGTGGGTACTAGAAACCAGAAAGTCAATCGTAACAGCTCTTCTTCTTGTCCCTTTGGATCCATAATCCCAAGCTCACATGGAGGTGAGGGATTTCTGAGACTCTTGTTGGGTTCTGCTCAGCTTTCAATTATTTTCTGTTAATCCCATGAATAGTTTGTCCTGATTTCCCAGTTGGGTCTTTCTTTATGTTTCACATTGTTAATTGGGGTCTTTGAGTAATGCAGGAGGTCTCTAATTGAGCTGTGATGGAGGAGACCAGTATGGTTAGAAAGTTTCTGAGAAATCATAACTGCAACATGCACATCAGCCCAGGTTTGAATACTTCGTGAAGAAAGAATGACCTATTGATTTTAATTTGCTTTTTAGTTTTGTTTAATTCATTTTTTTTTTCAGGTCGTTCATTCTGAGACTGATTTCAGTTAATTTTCATGTGTCACTTGCTTACCCACTTTTCTTCTTCTTCTCGTTTTTCGGTGGCTTGGCTTGTTGTAGAGCAGAAGAAATGTAGTTGATCAGAAGCTGTTAGTTCCAGGAAACAATCTTAATCAGAAATTATTGACACAATCTCAAGAGCCAGGTTTGAAATTGTCAAACAAAGGTGTCGTTTGATTTTTACTTTTTATTTATTTACTTGATTTGGAGGCAACTGATTCTTCATTCTTTTGCTGTTCTTTGAAACAGACCCATACTGGTGTTTTTCTGTAACCGGTCCCCCGAAGAACTCCATTGGAAAGTCCAAGAACATGTAAGTATTTCTTGGAAAATGTTATTGAGTTTGGCCAGCTATATACTCTGAAATAGTAGCTTCTGACCCCGTTAATGGAATTTTCTTCTATAGAATAATGCCTCAACACAAAGTGAGATCAGTTGGTTACAGATCATTTTTCACTTGCAATGATCCAAGTGGAGTTGTGGAATGTGGGACAATCAAAAAATCCAAGACTGGTACCCAAAGGGTGGAAAATGATATTGATTGCCAAAGAAGTAAGAAGGAACACTCAAATCCATCTTTGGCATGTAAGGAAGAAAGGAAGGAGTTCATCTCTAAAGGGAACACAGAAGAATTACATAACCTTCCTTCCTCTAAACTGTCAGAGGTCTCTAGAGGAACTCAGAAGATAAACCATATGATTGATTCATTGTCAAAGGGCTTGAGTTTTGATGGGCCACCTAAAGACGTTGCAAGAGATCTGTTGAAAGGTGCTCTGGATCTGCAAGAGTCTTTAATCATGCTTGACAAGCTGCAAGAAGCTTCAAAATACATGGCTCAGTTGAAGAAAAAGCAGAAGCCAAGGTCAGAACAAGGAGAAGGAGAGGAGGTGGTTATTGATAGAGTTGATTCAGGTCGATTTGGAGAAAAATACCACCGGAGAGGATTGCATATGCGCCATCTCTCTTTTGATGATTCTTCAAGGGATTGCAGGGAGGAACTCAAGAAAATTATCAAAGACAGCCTTTCCAGGCAAAACCTTTTCCCTATTTCCAAGGAAGAAAAGTCTTCCAACTCCGAGAGTGGAAGGGAATTTGATTCTACTGTTGATATTCCCTCGACAAGCTCCAGCCAATCTTTGATGGTTCACTCTAGAAGCTCAGTTTTTGATGGTTCAACAGCCCAAGACAAAAAGGTAAAGTCCCCAAATTTGATTGCCAAGCTTATGGGTCTGGAAGAACTCCCATCAGAACAAATCCAGCCTTCAAAGAAACAGGTTGAGAGTGACAAGAGCTCAAATCAATGGAGACCTATATATGATATTGACATGCCAAATGTAAGGAAACCAAATCTTGTGGACTCCATTGGTGATTCAGAGCAAAGGACACTGAGAGAAATAATTGAGGCCATGCAATTTAAAGGACTTTTGAAGAATAGCCACAGTGTTTCCCATCTTTCCAATACTTCCTGTTCAAAACAGAGGTTGGATGGTGAAATTCCACCTATTGTAATCATAAAACCCCTGAACTTTCCATATGAAAAAACAGAAGGGCCCTTGTTGGAAAGGTTTAATCAGGAAGAGGGAGATTTTGATACTAAAGAAATCATCACAGAACTAGAGGTAAAAGAGGTGCATCCACCTAAAATCTTCCCCAGAAAAGAGGAAGCTCCAGAGCTTAAAGAGATGCTTGGTAGACTGGAAGCAAAACAAGAGCCTCTGACTGAAATGTTTATGGGGGAAAAGGGAGCTTTGGACCCAAAACAGATGCTAAGGGAATTAGAAACAAAAGAGGTAGCTGCAACCAAAAGGATTATCCAGGAGGAAGGAGCTAAGGATTCTAAAACATCACCTAGTGAGACTCAGAAAGTAAAAGAATTGAAGACTAAAAAACTCAGGGAACCAGAGGTCAAGGAATTTAAGAATAAGGAGAAGGCATGTCCTAATAAGATGAAATCTTCCGCTTCCTTGAATCATAGGCTGCCAAGAAACAAAAAATCTGAGAAGACAAAAATGGTGCCATCTGACAGAAGAAAACCAGTAGAGAAAGACCATGTGAAATGTGTAGCTGGACCAAGATCTCAGAACTGGGCAAAATCAACCTCTGTAAAGTTGATAAAGCCTGAAAGCGAGCTGGTCATCACAAAAAACCAGTTTCCACTCCAACGAAGTACCATTCGAGGTCCTAAGTCAATACATCCAACAAAACCTGTATCACAAAATTCTGCTGATCGGAGGAAGAAAAGCCACACAAAGAAAGCAATACCAGCCAGAGAGCCACTGCCAACTAGTTCAATTGTGAGTTTTCTTATAAAAATCTATCTCTATGATACTGGCTTTAAGTACTCAGCTTTCTTCCCTGACCTCTTTACATAGGTCTTATTGAGTTCATTGAGGGGGATGAAAAGCTCAAAAATCAGCTACTCCTGGTGGAGTAGCACTGGGCTAAAACCGTGAGTCACATTCCTTGATGTATTGATGTGACACCACATTGAATTGGATGAAGTGTCATAAAATGGGGCCACACTAATCCATCAAAGGACGTGATTTCATGGTTTTTAGCCCCGTGTTACTCCAAGTGGAGTAACTGATTTCTCCTCGGATGATATGCATTACCTACCTACACTCTGTCGCCAAAAGTCACCCCCAAATGAATAACAAATAACTTTTTCTTTATTTTCCTAATGTATAAAGAATGATAAAGTTGATCTGTGGAGGAACAATACAATTTATCTTCTGCAGATGGAGAATTTGCAATGCAAAGATTCTGTTTTGGCAACAACCAGGGTTTCTCTTGTGGATCAAGTACCTGCAGGGGAAAGAAGAACAGTTTTTGAAATTGATATTGAAGGTAAATCATCTTTTCGGTGATGACATTAACAAATCATGTCAGTTGTTGAATTTTCAATAGGTGAAACGCTACTCACACACTTTGCCATTACAAAACCCTTAGATCACAAAAGGACAAGAAACAACAACCCACAAAATTTGCACGCAAAATATAACTTTTTCTGATAAAAAAATTGCACACAAACCCCATTAATATTTTGTTCACCTGTGATTTAAGACTTCTCTACAACGAACAAGGCCAAAGATGCTAGCGTTGCACTTCTCAATATGGCATGTTTAGCATTTAATTGCATACTGTTTTTAAGGAATTGATAAATTGAAGTTATTTATCAAATAAAAATTCTAGCATTTAATTAGTCTTGCATGTATGTGAGATTTTATAATTTATACATATATGTTATAATAATGAATTCCAAGAATTTTTCTGTGCATCATTGGTGGACTGGAATTTAACCACTGAATCTGTATGTCTACTTGCATATATACATGATACAGGGTCAGTTTATTGATAATCCAAAAGAATACTAAAAAAAGAGAAAATTGGTTCAGTTTACCTGAACTACTATATGGATTCAATTCTCTTGTCTGATCAAACATATTCTAGCACAGAGTTTTTTTTTTTTTTTGCTAAAAAGAAAATTTATTAATAAGAAAGGAGGGGGGCATCAACCTTACCCCGAAAGAACAATACAATAGAGCATGAATGCTTAAAACTATAAATGGAGAAAATAATTTCAACAAAAGCAAATCATTCAACAAAGTTACCATCTACTTTACATGTACACTTAACACCAACATGACATTTGAGAAGACTCCTCTTTGTCACATCTTTAATACATAACTAAAGAGCCTCAAAATCTTAGGGTAAATTTTGGACATGAATGATAAGCTTGTATTACTTGATACTTTAATATTATCAATCTTTGTTTGCCGTTTTGTCTGCACATATATATGCATTTAATTCAATCTTTTTTTTTCTTTTTCAACAATTGGCCCATCATTTATATAACACAAAAGATATATCATTAGAAATTAACTTAAAGCTAAAGCATAGCAACTGAGTCATGAAGTATTATTTTTTCATGACAAATCATACACCTCATAATTCTGTCAGAATCTGATGCTCCTACTAGTGTCCATATAAAATAGGTTATTATTTCTCTTGAGTGTAAATGATCCTAAAATAAAGAGAAAGAATCATACTCAATGCTTGAAACAACAAACAGAAGTGGTGCTTTATTCATTATGTAAGTTCTTTCAATCTCTATGTCACATACTTTCACATACACTGTTACCAACAGTGCTTTGTTCAAGTATCCTTATAAAAACTCCTTCCCTTCCACCAGTATTTTAAGAACTTGCATACTCCATATAGCAAATAGAAACATGTACAAAGTCTATTTTGGTAACTTGTGTTTATTAACTTCACAGTTAAACCAAGTATGCATCTATTTATCTGCATTTGTTTACATGATCCAGTATCTTTGTTTTGATTGTAGATCATTGCAGCAAGGACAATTCTGTCTCTAAAACCACACCATGTATAACCCAACATGAGAGAGGCATCGGACATGAAGGAGAAGCTACCCAACTCATCAACCATGAAACTATAGGGAGGAATACTATTAGAACCAGCACTATGAAGGCATTACTTTTGAGTAGCCCATCATTCCTCAGTTGTGTTGCAGATCTCTTTGATGTGAATGTTGACCAACCTACAGTTTCAAAAGAGCCCAGTGTACTTGATGTTGGAATGACAAATGTGAGACTCTTCTTGGACTGTGCAAATGAGATCATGGAAAGAAAAAGCCTGCAAACATTACAACTAGGTCATCCTTTATTTGGGTTCAGGGATTCAAGAATCATCATATCTCTAGACAAGGTAGTGGAGGAAGTGTGCTGTGGGGTTGAGAATTTGAACAATTATAATAAGATTAATGGTGTTCTTCCCATGGATATTCTTTATATAATGTTGGAAAAAGATCTCAGTTGCAAGTTGGTTTTGAATGGTACATGGGATTTGGGTTGGATAAATGGATTTTCTGTTGATGAAGCTGACCAAATTGTAGGTGAATTGGAGAAGCAAGTTTTAGATGGACTTGTTCAGGAGGTTATTTTAGATCTTACATCTTAGTATTTTGTACCTTCTTTGTTCTTTTCCTTTTCATTTCTTTTTTTTTCCTTTAGTTAGTTTTTTTTGTTTTTTTTTTTTTTGGGGGGGGGGGGTGAAGGAAGCAGTTTACTTATAAAACCCTGAGCCTATAAATTGATGGGCATGTGGAGGAAACAGTTAGTAGCTGGAGCTTCTATTTCCTGTACATAGAGGTTACTTCAGTCAATACAACAGAAAGAATTGAGAACAGGCTTAGCCTAAATGTATTAGTCATTGTAAAGACAATGATGAACACTCTAAAGAATACTTTGATGAATGCCAGCACTCAGGAAAATAGTATTATTCAAGGGTTGATCTGTTCTAACATATTATGATGTCTTTGATAATTCTACTGTAACAGCCAACAGGCAGTGTACAAAGGTCATTATGGTTAAACTAAATAAATAAAATAGAGATGAGTTTGGTCTTATTAAGCCACGATAGAGTTGTATATTTGCCCACTGTTGAGAAAAGAGGAATATTTAGGCATATCAAATCCCAACTATTCACTATCTTAAAGTTTATGAATGGAAGTTAGCATGTCTCCCCATTCCTTGATCAGCTAAGCAATTAAGTAAGCAACATGGAAATGGTGAGTATCTAAAACTGGAGACTCTTTTGATTTCATTGATTATTACATGATTTAATCCATTTGTTCATTTCAGTTTCTTTCTATCATTATTTCCCATCTATCAAGTTTGAAATAAACCTGTACAGGCAGAATTGGAATCCCATTTCTATTCCTGCTGGAATGACATTCCCCCATTTGACAGAATGACCATTCCCTCCCCCTCCCTTGGGAATGAAACCCCATTCCAGCTTATTCCAATTCCTATTCCGATTCCTGTCTGAATCAAACAGACTATGAGAATAGATCATTCTGATTCCAATTACAAGGGATTCTGATTCCGATTCCAACTGTGAAACAAACGGACCCTTGAGAATATAATACAAGGGTCCACAAAACATAGGGAATGAAATCGAAGTGTTGGTATAAACTATCACAATAGAATTTGCACAAAGATATAAACATTGAGCTTAAGACAAACATAAAGTACTGCAGATTTTCATACAATTTATATGCATAATTTTCCCAACAAACAACCCCTTTTCAAGCATCTATAAAAATGAGATGCAATCTGATCCTTAAATCCCATATATCAGCTCATGCAGGTTGTATGGCTAGCATACCTGTAGAACTTTAGGTTGTATTTAGTTTGATAGAAAATTATAGAGAAACAGAAAGTTGAGGGGAAGTTGATAAGGAATTTCACAAATTTTATTAAGTACACTTTCCCTCAACTTTCTGTTTCTTATTTCCCATCAAGCCAAACATAGCCTTAACATCAACTGGATGCCTGTGGGCTTATCACTTTGTGCTTGGTGTCCTGGATACAAAAACCCTGAATGTCCTCCGTCCAGTTATCTTGCAATAGGGGTATCAATGGACCGCTTTTGGGTTGGACCCCATTTAAATCAAAATCAATTTGGATAGATTGGAGGGACCATTAAGACATTGAGTTGGACCAGTCCTTAATGGTCCAAAATATTTATAGGATTGGATTGGACCTAATCAATGGGTTTATTTTAAATTGGGTTGGATTGAACCAATATCTGTAATGGGTTTATAGAAAATAGGAATACAAGTGTCAATAGACCATATTTGGGTTAGAACCAATCTACTTTAAAATTTGAATAGATTAAACGATTCAGACATTGAATTAGACCGGTCCAAAATGATCTAAAGTATTCATCGGATTGGATTGAACCTGATCCATCTGTAACGGACTCATATTAGACCAGATCGGATTGGACCAAATCCGGTCCAATCAACACCCCTATCAGCTATCTTGCAATACTTGATTCTTCACATAAACACAGTTGTAAACGTTGTTGAAACTTAAATGAAATTCACAAAATTTCGTTTTCAGTCAACATAAATGGGATATGTAACCCACTAGCTAGTTGCCAAGCTTCCAGGCTGATTGAATTGAACATGGTTTAACCTCTTTCTATCGATATATTCGAATATACTTGATCACGAAAGATGCGGTTGTCCACCTGTTTCGATTTGTTTTTTCAACAGTGTTTCCAATATGACCAAGGAGGTTTAGAATTAGAATGCAAATTAAGACGGAAAAGTTTCAATCTGGTATTTTTTACGTCATGTCTCAATATCTTCAAATGCGTCGGAATCCTCAAAAAACTCCATGAAAGTCAGAATCTTCAAAAACTTCTTGCGTTTTGCAGTTTCAAATTTTCTGTAAAACTGAGCTTCTTACCGCTTCAAGCGTTTCTCAAAGTTAGTCAGTGCTCTCTGTAACCAATAATATATCATATCCTGCTTAATAAATTCATTATTTCTCTTGTATTCGTGCCTTGAATTCTAGTTGCAACTTGCAACTGTGAACTGACCCATTCAAGTTGAGAAAAATAAAAAAAACAAAATTTCATAGCAGTTTGTAGTGGAAGTAGAGCTACCCCACGGTAAGGATTCGTAGTGCTAGTGCTGATAATATTTGATATAACACGTGAACATGACTCAAATACGACACAAAGTTAGTACATTTTGTAGCAGGGACTCGTTGGATTTACAAGTTCTTTCATAACATGCATTTATTGTGGGTTGATCCGGTTAGGGCTTTTTAACTCTGGTTAGGGTTTCCTCATAACACAACGCTCAAATACAACTCAAACATGATATGAAGTTAGTGGATTTGTGTTTACTTTAATTGTATTCGTATCAAAATTGTTTCTACTTGTTTAACACGGTTAATAAATGTGTCAATTTCAAATTGACCCATTTAACTTGAAAATGGTGTGTTTATGACATGGAAGTTTCAAGTATTAGATCATATATGCATATTTAGATGAATAGTTGAATATTATTATGGTAGACATGAAGTTTATGAATTTATTTAAATAATAAATTATTGGATGTTTATTTTATTATTCAAATCTATTTATTGTTTCATTTAATTAGGTTAATCGTGTAAATTTTGTGTTAGTTCGGATTATACATGTCATTTAGTATATAATTAAATAAGTTAAATGTGTTAATTCAGATTACACGCGTCTAGACATGTTCATGGGCCAGGTAGCCTGACAGTCTGGCCCAGCCCAATCCGTTCTAAGTCGGGCTTGGACATGAATTAGGCCCATAGCCTCAAGCTCAGGCCCAACTTTTTTTCAGGTGGGGCTTGGGCTTTCTCAAAAAAAGCCCAACTCGATCCTGACTTGATAATATATTTTTAAGTAAAAAATATATTTATATAATAAATCGTATATAAATATATATATATATATATATATATATATATATATATAATATTTTGTTTTTTTTGTTCATCACCTTGTTTTTCAAGTCATAGTGAGATCTTTTGTTATTTTTGGGTTGTAAGGTCTTTTAATATAAATAAATTAGTTTTTCATTAAGTAAAAAATATTTTTTTTTTCAATTTTTTAACGGGACCCAAACTTGGGCCTAACTATATTCTGTTAATATAGAGACAAAGCCCAGCCCAAACCCAATCCGTGAACAAAATCTACATGGGTCGAATCATGTTACACATGTAATAAATAAACAGTATTTGTATTTGAAAATTTGACATGCCATGAGAATACGAATTACCACCTCTACCACAAGAAATCTTGTCTTTTGAGAGTCAAGAAAAGATAGGTAGATGTGTGTGATCCATTAATTAAACTAGTGTATTTTGGTGAGGAAGGCTATATACAATTATACACTATGACTGTAATCCCTATTGTTCTATAGTGGATTTATTCTCCTTTTAACACCCATAGACAAAGGCTACAAGCCGATCATGTAAATTTTGTATGCATTCTTGATCTACTCTGTTTTGCGTTTTCTTCTGTTTTTTCTCCATTTACCAATCAATTTCAGGCCTTAGTTTCATTCTTCCTTAACATTTTCTTTCTTATTTTCTTCCTTTTCGTATTACATACTCAAGAACTCATTGAGTAGATTTGTGCTTGAAAAGTTGATGCCATAAAACATATAGCTTATACTTTTTTTCCCCAACCTTCATTCTAAAATAAGAGAGAAATGGAAAGTTGTGGGAAGTATTTAAAAAATTCACAAATTTTATTAAGAACTTTTCCTAAACTTTGATTCTCTCTTATTTTCTATCAAACCAAATATAGCCTTCTAAATCTAGCTAGCTCTCTTTCATTTCTCCTTTTTGATCTCTTAACCATGTTTGTATGCATTGTCACCAATTTCTATCAGAGAGAGAGAGAGAGGTGGTTTTTCTTCCCGAGCTTTTTGCAGGCTTTGACCCTTGAAACCAAAGCTCAACCATCCAATCCTCCGAACCATTAAAACAAACCATTGTCTATTCTCCGACCACCTCACGTTTTCTTTGTCAAACAAGCACCCCACGTTCCATTGACACGTAAAACAGAAATCAAGATAAACCCCTTGAAACTGTACCTCCACATCTGTATCTAATTTTCATCAAATCAAGGAAAAAGGAAAAGAAACGAGTCTCCCAACCAGTGTTTTCAAATCTAGCTTCTCGTTTGGGAGATGGGTTTCTCTTCCTCTGCACTTCTCTCGTAATATCACCAATTAATTAAAATAAGAACTCTCTCCCACAAGTTGTGTAGGCTCTCTTTCAATCTCTGTTATACAGTGTACCTTCTTCATGTGAACATCGTTTAAGTTCTCCAGTTGATTGTCCATTCCCTGTAACTTTTCTCGAATACACACAATGGTCCGAGAAGGTGAAGATCACGTCTTCAGAAAGTCAAAGTCATTCCACCTGAGAGGTATGATGCATGACATTGCATCAGCTGCTGGATGTCATGCGCATGGCTTGATACATGAACATCATACCCAGCAGGATGGAGAGACCCAGGGATCAAGATCTTCAGACCAACCACCGGAAAATCAACAGAATGGTGTGTCACCCAACCGCTCTGAGAATGGAAAGGACGGAGGTGCAAGCAATGGCTCCCATGGCAAGGACAAACCGCATTCAGGTGACTTGCAGTTCTGTTTTGTTTTTTTCATCTTGTCTGTATTGTTCTGGGTAATGGAATCTTACATCCCATTTTGAACAAATTATGCAAAATTCAGATATGGACTTGATGAAAGAAAGGTTTGCCAAGCTGCTATTGGGTGAAGATATGTCTGGAGGAGGGAAGGGTGTTTCATCAGCTCTGGCTTTGTCAAATGCCATTACCAACCTTGCAGGTTCATTTGTTTTTGCTTTTTTCTAATCAATCCTGTGATTTATTTATTTCCCAGGGAATGCACAATATATTATGAACTTGATTTTATTAAAGAAAAAAAGAAAACAGATAAGCTGATGACTCATTGGTTTCTTCATGATGATGACATCCTCGTACATTTTGTACAACGTCTCAACACCTCATCATCATCTAAGCCTTCCCAAATCCCAACTATATGGAATTTGCTACATGAATCCTGTTTCGCCATTCCATTCATTTCAGTGCTATATAGCATTCCAACACCTATTTTCAAAATTGTCTAGAAAACCCATGTTCTTATCGATTGTTCGAGACTGTTATGTAATATCATATATTCTTACAATTTTGGGATTTTCTGCACTTATGTGTTATGGAAATAGGAAGGATCATGGTATTATATAGTGAAATGGACCCAATTATGATAATTCTAACTACTTGCTATTCTCTTTTTCTTCCTTTTTCCTCCTAATTTAATGCAGCTTCTGTCTTTGGGGAGCAATGGCGATTGGAACCCATGTCACCTGAGAGGAAAGCAAGGTGGAGAAAGGAAATCGATTGGTTGTTGTCTGTAACTGATCACATTGTGGAATTTGTTCCTTCCCAACAGAAAGCCAAGGATGGAACAAGCATGGAGGTTACCTCTCTCTCTCTCTCTCTCTCTCTCTCTTTCCTCCCCCTAATGTCAAAGTTGGATTTAAATTCATCCATCTTACCTTTTCTTGTACAAATAGATAATGGTAACACATCAGCGAACTGATCTACGCATGAACATTCCTGCTTTGCGCAAGCTTGATGCCATGCTTATTGTAAGGACTTGAATTTGTTTCTTGTTTTTCGTTTGGATCTATAGGGGAAGACTGTTTCCTATGGGTTACCCTGGCTTTTGTTTTCAATTTGCAATGGGTTTATGATAAACAGGGGCATTTAGATAACTTCAAAGAAAAGCAAGAGTTCTGGTATGTGTCCAGAGATGCTGCTGATTCTGAGAAAGGTGTGAGGGCTCACGATGAGAAATGGTGGCTACCCACTGTCAAGGTTCCTCCGAATGGGCTCTCTGATGGAGCAAGAAAATGGATGCACTTTCAGAAGGATTCTGTGAACCAAGTATTAAAAGCAGCCATGGCCATAAATGCTCAAGTACTAGCAGAAATGGACATCCCCGAGAACTATATCGAATCCCTACCCAAGGTAAAACAATAAAAAATGTCATTTTTTTCCTGCAGAACTCTGCCTTAATTGATTCTTTTCCCTCTTTCTTTTTTGTTAGAATGGGAGAGCAAGCCTTGGAGATTCAATCTATCGAAGTATTACAGTTGAATTCTTTGATCCAGAGCAATTCCTCTCAACTATGGACCTTTCAACAGAGCACAAGATTCTCGACCTCAAAAATAGGATTGAGGCATCAATTATAATTTGGAAGAGGAAGATGATCAACAAAGATGGGAAATCTTCTTGGAGTTCAGCAGTGAGCTTGGAGAAAAGAGAGCTCTTTGAAGAGAGGGCAGAAAGTGTCCTAATCCTTATTAAGCAGAGATTTCCGGGTATTCCTCAATCCGCACTTGACATAAGCAAGATTCAGTACAACCGGGTATGGATAGAAATATTATGACTATATTGTTTTTTTTTTTTATGCCTCACTTACTTGATACCAGCTTTTTTTTTTGAGCTACAGGATGTAGGGCAGGCAGTCCTAGAGAGCTATTCAAGGGTACTTGAAAGCTTGGCCTATACAGTCCTGTCCCGGATTGATGATGTCCTCTATGCGGACTCATTGATTCAGAATCCATCACTCACAGATTCAGAGAGAAAACTATCAATAGAATCAATGGGTGAAGAGATGGAGAAGAATGCTACAGAGACACACGGTGCAATGACACTATCAGATTTCATGGGCTGGAATTTTGATCAAGGAGACAATGAACAAAGGAGGGAATCTGCAGATCAAGACGATAGTACGTAGAGTATATGTGAGAAAGAGATAAACACTTATGCTCGGAAAGGAGCAATTGGAACTGGTTTGCTTCCAATTGTAGTTAGGGAAGTGTGACATGCATTCTTCTGTATTTCTATGGCTTTAATTGTCTTTGTACATTTGTAGCTACTGATGACTGATGTATATTCGTTGCATCACTAGTTCCATAACCCTCTATCTACATATTTCTAGCTGGTAAAGATAAATGAACAGGTCTCAGCACCAGAAAACTATGATTCAAGAATTTTCAAGCCCCTTTTTCTTCCCACCTAATAACAATAGTATCACTGATTCTGAAATAACAAGCACTGATCTTGGTCTTAAGAATGCTTGAGCATACTTACATTTTGAATAAAAAAAGATAGACAACAACAAAATGAAGAGAACTGAAGGATGTGGAGCCACTAAATAATTTAGATTTTGCCACGCGGACCAAGCTTAGGTGGTAGTTGTGGTCCCTTCTTGATGGGTAAGATGTCCCCTGAAGCCGTAGAGCTGAGGTAGGCAAGGAGAGATCCACCTCCCAAAATCAAAAACTTGAGCAACAATCCTCTCTTGGTGAAAGGAGCTGCAAATGTCTCAAAGAACTTGCTCTGCATTTCCATAAGAAAGGGTTTATCAAAGATATGTTTAAGAAACAATGCATCATAGTTAGAAATGCACTGTCATGTTTAGGCATCTGCAACCATAACATAAGCAGACGTAATGACCATCAGATGGATAGAACCATGAACTTGGCACAACTAATGGGTCCAATTACATCCCCATGTGTTGCTCTTCTATGTGAGGAATCCCCTCTCAATCAAATTCCAAAGGAATTCAAACAAACAAACAAACCCTTGATCTTCTCCTCTAATGCAAATGGCCTAAAATAGTAATTTTTTTCCAAGTGATTTGAGCACCCATGTTTTGATAGTCCAAATACATCCCCATGTGTTGCTCTTCTATGTAAGTGAGGAATCCCTCTCAATCAAATTCCGAAGGAATTCAAACAAACAAACCCTTGATCTTCTCTAATGCAAAAGGCCTAAAACAGTAGTTTTTTTTTTTTCAAGTGATTTGAGTACCCATGTTTTGATAATGGGATGTGCCCAAATCAGTTCCATCCTATTATAACTGTAATTAACGGTCAAAATTACCCGACATAACGGTAAACTATACGCTAGTGACTGAGGGAGGAGGTGCGCAAAAAGCAAACCTGAAGAGGATTGTAGGGTGAAGGAGCGTCGGAGCCGTACAAGTCCCACTGGCCGGTGGTGTTGCCCAAATCCTCCAGGTCGAAGTAGACACTTTTGTCGCCGTACTTCGCCACCACTGCGCCGGACCTGTTTCAAAGTAGAACATGCATACAACAGCAACGCTCAACGTTTAACTAATAACCAGTGTTTGGAACCCAAACGACTAATGCTTGGCGAGTTGGGTTTTGTTTGTTTGTTACCTAATGCTTGTCCGTGCCAGACTCCGGCGACATGGCCTGACTGAAAGCTTGGTCCCTGTGAGGGAGCTCCCTCCGAGGCCCTTAACAGAGACTGGTTGTACGGCGGCCAAGGTTGCCAGAGACGCCATTGTCTTTGCCTTTGCTGCTCCTCAACTGAGACTCTGAGAGAGTTCCTCCGTTTCCTTCTTTAGCATGGTATGCGAGATTTTCACAAATATTCAGGGTTGATCTTTTGCCTGGATTTGAGCTTGCCACGTGGAGAACCGGGTCATTTTCAGGGATGGATGGAACCCCATTTCAGTGGTTCAACGTGGGCTGTAGCTGGATAACCTTATCCTTTTCCTGATCTCATGATCTCATATTTCTTTTCTAGCTTATCTGGCCTTATGGCTATTAAAACTCTCCCTTTGTTGAGAGAGATTGTGCTACTGTTTTCTGATTTTGCCATTTCTTATTATTTGTTCAAAGGGAATTGATAGAAATCCAATGGCTCTGATCTTCAAATTCGGATATTTTTTATCTTTGAAACTAATTTATAGGCCATGCTTATGTTCGATAGTTAGTAACTTAGGTCATAGTATGCATTATAAGAAAATAATATGGGAAAATTTTTTATAGGTATCCTATACTTTAGGTCGAGTGTCAATTTAGTATTCCAACTTTAAAACTCAACAATTTAATACTTAAACTTTTATTTTGTGACAATGTAATATCTAGACTTTCATTTTGCGACAATCTAATACCTATCTTAATAAACCGTCAGTTATGTATATTATGTCAACTTGCTGCTATTTAAGACTTTTAAAAATGTTAAAATTACCTTGAATACTATTCATTATCTTCTTTTTCAAGAAAATGAAACGGAACACAAAGACACCATTCATCATTTTTTTTTCAAGAAAATGAAAATCAGGTTCTGGAAACCCAAATCTCTTTCATCCACCACCAGTCAGAAATTCTTCGCCACACCGAAGAATGCTTGCAGCAATGGCTCCGGCCATGCCTGGTTCCACCCCAACATTGCCACCGAAGATCAGGCTTGCATTATTTGATTTCATCTTACCCAGAGAGTGAGTATGGAACGTCTTATCATCAGTTCCATCCTGACCTTCTGTAGCTGCTCGTTTGCTGCTGTCAGGGACATCCAAGCCTCATAGCATTCATCTGTCTTTCGCTCACACTGTGTAGTCAGCTCTGGAATTTTCTTCTCATGCTTGGTAGTGGATTTCATTTGCATGACTTTATTCTGCAAAGTCTAGCAATAATGAAATGAATGAACAACAATCGGGTCCTGTCACAGTCACTCCAGCCGAACCGCCGTTGCTACTCCTAGCAACGACGACATTCTTTTCTTTACTCATTTCTCTCCCCTCACTTTCTTCTTCTTCTCTCTCCTGCGTTGCCCCCAATCGCCTCCCAGACACCGTTTCCCCCCTACTGCCGCTACTGCTGCTTTGAACCACGAGTCTTTGGCTCACGACATCATCGGGTGCAAACAAGCTGTGCCGCCATGGCTGCACTGAGGCATGTCGCAGCGTTGGCAATTGCTGTGGTTCTGCACTGAGGCTCACGACATCATTTTCAAACACTGTTCATCTTCTTCACAGAGAAGCAGAGCAGCGGCAGATTTGAACCAGTTCTGCATTCCTAACTTCTATTCGCTGCTGCAACTTCCGGTGACAGATCTGAACCCGTGGTGGTTTCTTGGTCGTTTCTTCTACCTCTCTCTTTCTCTCCCACTTCAGGTTGCTGCTGCAACTTCTGGTGACAGATCTGAACCGGTGGTGGTTTCTCCGTCGTTTCTTCTACCTCTCTCTTTCTCTCCCACTTCAGGTGGCTAAGACTTAATACCGGGCTCTCTTTGCCCCTTCATACGATAAAATCCCAAGTTGCAGCATCGAACTCCGGTCAACATTCAATATTATGATTCATTTCCAGTACCGAGGAGTTTACACAGGAGTAAGTTGGTAGTTTATATTTGAAGGTATTTTTGTCTTTTTGCATGCCACTTAATGGTTGATTAATGTTGGGTTTTAGATTGTGGATTAATTTGGATACTAGATTGTCATGTTTTAAAGTTGGAGTACTAAATTGGCACTCAATCTAAAGTATAGGTACCTCTTGGAAATTTTCCCAAATAATATTAACAAAAGATTATGACATCTGCATATCTTTTATATGATAGTCGGGCCCACTATTAAGAGTCCGTTTGGGAGGGCATTAGGGTTGATTGAGCTGTTTCTGAATAATCTTATTGGAAATTGATTTCTTAGCTCACTTAAGTTTAATTATTTTTGACTTTTTGGCTTTATTACCAAATACAGTTTCATGGCTTTCCATATAAGGACTATTTTACAACGCCAAAAAATACTATGTGAAAAAGCTCTTCTAAATTATTAGGTAGTCTATTTTAAGGATAAAATAGTAAAATCAGAAAATTTAAGATGTTAAAGGTTTGGTCCAACACAAATAAGTTTATCTATTTAGAGCCTCTAAAAAGTAGAAAAATATTTATGCCTTTTTTTTTTCAGATTTCAGACACACTTGTAATATCTTTTTAACTTTTCAGACTTCAGATTTCAAATTTATCAAAGGCCACTTGAATATCCAACTGACCAATCCTGAGTGTTGTTTTGTGACTCCTACTTTGGGTTCACATTTGCACCCCACAGAATGCATTCCATATGAATATCTTAACTTACATCGGGAACATTTCCTGTACTTGTCATTGAAAGAATCCAATACACAGTTGGGATGCCAATGTGATCTCTCCTACTTTAGTGCAGTAGCTCTTGAGTTCCACCCGATACAAGGTGTTGAAAAAACTTGGGAGTATCAGGTATTTGCTAAATGATGAGCAGTAGTCTCCTAAACCGCGTTCGGGAGTCAAATTAATTAGACTTGGTGATGAGGCCAGTTTGGTCCAGTTGGTAAGACTAACTTCAAGTTATATGACATGATCCGATTTATCCAGTCTCATTTGTGTTTGTCCATCAACTCTTTTTTTTTTTTTTTATTAAATTCCAACTATTTTGCCCGTGACATAGTCAAAGAGTGCATAATATAAGGTTCTGTTTGGCATCAAAGTGTTTCATAGCACATGCTATGTATATTTGCAAGTAATTATTATTTGTATATGATATATGGTATTTGAAGTCAACTTTTATGGCTTGCACTTAAACCAAAATAAGTATCCCTTTATATTTGTATAGATATAGATGATAGTTTTTGAATCACAACTATTTTCTTGTATGGAAGTCCATTAAAGGCACTACACATTTATCACTTTTTTTTTATTTTTTTCATTTAGTATGTATTTGGTTATGTTTATGTTTTTTCATTTAACATTTGTACTTTATTTGTTTGCAAAATCGAGAAAGGTAATAATTACAACCATTTATAACAATTAAGTGCCACTAGACTCCACATCAGCGTAACAGTGGAAAAACGCCTAACTATTTGTGGAAGCTTTAAAAATTAACTTCCCCAAACGGTAGACATGCACAAAAATCGAAATCCACTTTTGCCATTCTCGATGCATATGAAAGAACAAGAGAGAGGAACTGCTGAAGTAATGCCTATTTAACAGCATTTATTGAATAAACGCCCATGAAACCAAACACCCAATTACTATCAATTGGTTTGTTGTTCTGGATCATTTCTAGCCATGAGCAGTGCTTATTATTCTATGTTGCAATGTTTTGAAGCCTTTAAGCGTTAGATAAGTGTTACTTTTAAAAACCTTTTTAAGCCCAAAGCTGAGTCTTGTACAGCGTTTCTTTCTTCTTTCTAGATCAAGAGGTGCTATACAAGACGGGGTAGCATTACGACCTTCCATGGCATAGCGACGTATCTGATTAAATTATACCATTAAGTAAGCTCCACAATGCATTAAAACATATAGCCTTAACGGAGGGGTGTCAATAGGAGTGCAACTCGGGCGGTCTGAGCTGGCTGGGTTTTAACTCAATACAGGCCCAATCCTAATAATTGGGCTTTAGCCTAAGCCAAAGGTCAACGCTGAACTATTCAGCCTGAACCCAACCCCATGCTAAAATTTAATGTATTTGGGTTGGGCTTGGACCCAGTTCGGGTTCAGGTTGGTTTGGATATAATAGTTGATATTCATGCGTGTACATGTAAGCATGTATATGTAAATATGTATGTATGTATATATATATATACATGTATATCATCAGGCTGACTTCGAGTTATGATAAGTTTAGGCTGGGTTTAGGCTTCCTAAGGAATAGCCCCAAGCACAATCCAAAAAATTTAAAAGCCGAAACTTTTGGGCACAGGCCCAGCCTGAAGACCAAAACTTTAAGCCTAGCTCATATAAAATTGGGGGCTGGATCGGTTTGAATTTGAGTTGGGCCTGTCCAAGTTGCACCCTTAAGTGTCAATGGACCAGTTATCAAAATCAATTTAGATAGATTGGACGGACCAATAAAACATATTGAATTAGACAATTAATGGTCCAAAGTTTTATTGGATTGGATTGGACCTGGTCCATCTGTAATGGATTTATATTGGATTGAACCGATATCTAATCCATTGATAAAAGATAAGAATACAGGTGTCGATGGACCAAGTTTGGGTTGGAATTAATTTAAATTAAAACTAATTTGAATAAATTGGGTGGTCTAGACATTGAATTGGATCGGTCCAAAGTATTTCATATGATTGGATTGGACCTATAATGGACTTATATTAGACTCGATTTGATTGAACCAAATCCAATCCAATTGACACTCCTACTTAATCGGTTTTCTGGATAAGGAAATTTGTGAACCAGTTCATTTATTCATGGATAAATTATAGATGGGTACCTAAACTTTTAATTGCAACACTTGATTATCCTGAACTCTAAAAAATAAACACTTAGATCCATCCGTTAGTATTCCATCAATTAAACATTACATAATGTTAAAAATACATTTTTTTTTTGCGGACTTTTAAGATTATTTTGTGGAATAAAATCATCACCAAAGAATGTTGTCGTAAAAAATATGTTATTTGTTATCCATGTGAAAACGTCATTGTGGGAAACGTTTAATTACCTAAAAGTGATCTCAAACATATATGAAAAAAGTATTTTTGATATTATGTAATGTTTAATTGACGAAATAATAACGAATGGACCCAAATCTCTATTTTTAAAAATTCATAGTACCCAAGTATTTGAAAGTTCAGCGTAGCTATCTGTCACCACCCCAAATTACAGGGCACTTATTATAATTTACCCTTTATTACTGAATGACATGATATAGGACGAGTTAAGCCCATTTCATACCCACCCGAACAAGGAACCGGTACAGTACAAATCAGCGAGGCTCCCTCTCACTGCTCGATATTGATATGTAGAACACCCCACCTCATCCAGAGAAAGGATAAGAGAAAAAGAGGAGCATCTCCTTTCCTCCCTCTCGAAGCACAATGTTGTTAACTTCTCCCTCTTCGCTTCTTCAGCTCCCTCCATTAAAATCTCTCAAGATCAGCTCTCCATTCCTTTATGGGTCCACCCCAGTTCGTCTATTGAACAAACCCTCTTCGTCCCTCTCACCATCAAATCCATCTCCGCCTTCTTTTCTCCCTCCAATTCGAGCCATGAAATCGCTTCAAGGGAGGGTTGTTTGTGCCACCAACGACAAGACAGTTGCAGTCGAGGTGGTGCGTCTAGCGCCACACCCGAAGTACAAGAGGAGGGTCAGGAAGAAGAAGAAGTTTCAGGCTCATGACCCAGAGAACCGGTTCAAGGTTGGTGACTTTGTGCAGCTCGAGAAGAGCAAACCCATCAGCAAGACTAAGGCTTTCATCGCTATCCCGGTCACTGCAAAGAACGCTCCCAAGTCTACCGAGGCCTTGCCGCAAGAGCTCGGCATCCCGTTGGAGTCTGAAAAGTCTGAGTGAGGATGATTGAAATTCGTCCATCATGATCTCAAATGTAATGAACTGTTTTCCTCTTTTTCGTTTTAATCACTCCATGCTTTAGTCTAGCTTATTTGGCTGTTCTTTTTTTATGGGGGGTTCTGGTTGGTGATAGGTGCTGCAATTTAGACTGAGTTTATGTTCCGTTTGGTTTAGTTGTTATATGAATTTGATATCTGTTCATTATGGAAAAGAGAATCGAATCAGCCATTGAATGGGCCTGCTTTACTTGTTCTGTCCATAGGCCGTATGTTGATTATTGCAAAGATAATCAAATTGTTTTGAGTTTGGCTGCATTAACAAGATTATCAGGACTGGATCCTTTTTGATGACCTTGAGGTAGTTTTCAACCATTGAAGGAGCTTGACATAGAGTCAACAATCAGATTTGTGTATACCTGTGTGTAGCAACTCCAAATTTATGTCATTGATTTTGTGGGAATTAAAAATGAGAACTTTCCATGGCTTCTGGATTGCATAAAGTTTCTCTGGTAATTGCAGAGTTGCATATTTCTTTATTTATTTATTTATTTTTGAGATTGTTTAGCTGCATGAAGAGAAGAAGGGCTTCAGTGCATGTATTCCCAAGTAATTTTAGGATGGAATGCTGGGTTCTATATTTTAAGTCTAGGCTCTTCTTGTGAGTTGTGATTTCTTCTCAGATTTGTATTACCAGACTGATGGAAATCCTTGAATGGTCAATGGTATGGGATATGCTCAAGATAATTAGAACGGTCAATGGTATGGGAAAAACTGCATTGATGTAAGAAAGCAAATACCTCCCCTCCCACAAAACTTTGCTTTCTGCCCTTTTTACATGCAAAAGTGCAACAAACACAGACATGGTGGAAAACGATGACACTCACAGTTAGTGTACATTGTGAGCACCTGCTCTATTCTTCTGATTTGATGGCTGTCATGCATTGTAATACTTGATGTCTATATATTTTTCGTAAGTGATATTGTACTAAGTGGATTCAGCTAGGTTTCAAAAAATTTCTGTGAATTTCTTGAAATGTTCTCTCTGCTCAATTGAATTGTAAAAGGAACAACTGACTGAGTTGCCTGTAACACTCATATACCATTGACCTCATCTATTAGCAGAAAACATAAATCTTTTGTTTTATTTATTTTTTCCTTCAAATGACAATAAAACCAACAAACGAACCAGTGGTAATTTGTTAGATTTTTTTTTTTGTTCTTTTGACATATTCATTTCAGTTACCATTTGGACACTTCAAATTGAATTCATTTTATGTATCTTTTGCTTAAATCTAAGTTTTAACAGATGCAATCTAGATTTGAGGCTTAAAAGCATTCTTCTGAAGCTATTTTCAATCTCAAGCAAGAGCATACCTCGTAACCAAGGATCCATACCCTGTCCATTTTCATTGCTTATTGCTTTACACAAATGGGATGGGAATTTGAAATTTTCTATAGTTTAGGAAGCTCTATTTTTTTCAACCCTTATTGGTGTAAATAAATACATTAGGCATGAAGACTCCAGTTTCTACTTGCCAATTGCCTTCTTATAGTTCTGATATCATCCATATCAACAGATTATTCCACTCTATGATAATTCTAAGAACTCTTGTTGTTGCCAGGACCTCCCTTATTTTTTTTGATGGATCCAGGACCTCCCTTATTACTATTAGTTTCATCCATACCATGGCTTTCGAACCGCCGTTGACCCGGACAGTTGGACCATTCGGCCTGGGAACCGTCCAGGCAATCGGTTTTGTTTTACCCAAATCCAGTCCCTGGCCAAAAACCATTGAATCAGTCAATGACCCATTGATCTGGACGGTCAATCCATTGGCCCGGAAACCGGTGGCCAGAACGGTTCCATTTCCAGGTCATTTTTTTAAAATCATGATCAATACAAACAGGTTTATCCTCCCTGTTTAGTTATTTTAAGAAACAAATCTCAAACTCTTGAAATAACCGCTGAAACAACAGGAGTCAGGAGTAACATCTGTTCTAGTTCAGACTGTGCAGCAATGACAAGAAACTTGGCGCAGGTGGTGGGACTGCTTGGCTGCAAGCTGCAACTCAAAAAGCAGTTGGTGAGAATCACTTCCAATGTTTGGATACCCAGATTAAATGGGTATCAGAGAAATGAATTATTGGGATTTCCTAGACAAGGTGTCATGAACCGATTTTCATTATCACCAATCACCATCTTCATCACAACGTTTATAACAAGAACAATAAGATGAAATGCAGTGCATGATGAGAATCATCCCTGTCTTCCCATCTTAATTATGTTTTCTTATAAAAAAAGCAGGAAAACTTGTCTATACCCATAACCCTACAACCCCAAGTCTCCACTACAACGAACTAGATACCGTACCAATTGGGCCACTATCAGTTGGTTCGAATAAAAAAAAGAATAAAAAAAAGAAGAAAGATTTGACAGAGCAAGGAAGGTTCCACATTTTCTACATTCAAACAAACAGATCCGTTATATTAATTGGTTTTCTTTAAGAAAATTCGATTTTTTCATTATGTACTTAAAATCCAAAACGCAATGTGGCCTTTTCAGAAAATTTTCTGTTTTTCCTGGTTAAACTTCTTATCGAGTACGAATGCCACAGTAGTTCCATTGTAAAATTTTGTTTAGGCTCCATTTATTTGCAAAGCAATTCCATTTCCACTGGTACAGATACGGGAATTTGCACTTAAGTTGTTTACACTGGGACTTTCCATTTGTTTACAATGCAATTTCATTTGTACTAGTACAAATGCATGAAAATGCAAATTCTGCTTTCAGGTTTTATTTCACTTCATCTATAATAAAACTTCGTAGCTTCCTCAAACATCTACTTATCAATGACAATAAGTAAGACAAAATATACTATTGTAAATAATCTTCTCATTAAAACTGGTCCAAAAAAGAAAAACTTGAGCCAGAGTTTTACCAGCAACACCAGGCTGGGTAAACTTGTACAAGTTATGAGGAGATGATTATTACAACCCAAAAGGATCGAAAACACAGTTAGGCAACACGAGTAACAGCCGCATGAATAGCATCTGCAAGATGTGGAACTGTCCTGGAGCTTAGACCCGCCATGCTAATCCTCCCATCCGATGTCATGTAGATGTGGTACTCTTTAGTCATGGAAGCAACTTGCTCTGTATTCAGCCCCGTGAAAGTAAACATTCCAATCTGCTTGACAATGTGACTCCAGTCACCTGGTGTACCTGCAAATAAAGAAATGGTACTTTCAGACACAACCTAACTAGAAAACCTTTCTGGATGCAAATAGTGCTGTGTTTTTGTTGTGTTCTTGCAGAGTGGCATTCTAGAGTCCAGACAAAGAACCATGTCCAAACTTCAGAATGGTGACAAACATCTTGGCGTTCATGTGAGGTAGGAACATAAACATCAAAACATGGCTCATTATAACATGCAAGAAACATCGTCTTGTTATATTATTTTATCCCTTTAATGTTCCAGAACAACTTTTATCCCTTCCAGGAATGACCTCACAGAAAGGAAATACGGTTACTTCGCTGTCATAGATGGCTGGAAATGTGATAAGAAAGACGGTATAAATTCCATCTTTTTCAGTGGGCTCTAGTACGTATAATGGGTTGGGTGTTTCAATACTAAGGGCCAATCCAAAGGGGAAAATAGAAAATAGCAAGCTCATTTATTAAAAAAAAAAACGAAAATAGCAAGCTCAACACTAACATATACCAGTTACAGCACTGATGTCAATAAACACAAGTCCACGTTCAAAACTTACCACTTATACTGGTAACGTTAATAGATGGACTAACACCACAACAGAAAACAAGTAACTGATCCCCAAAAGGGGGAAAGCTCAAATTAGCTTACCTCTAGCACGTAAAGCGTCAAAAAGTTGCTGACGCATGCTAATAATCCGATCGGCCATGGCTTTCAACTCAATGGTCCATTCAGTATACATATCCCTGCAGGCAAAAGATATTTAAGGCACAGTTTAAGGTTGGGGTCCAAAAAAAAATTATATAACCAAACCCCAATAGAAAAAGGACCATTAACCAATGTTGGTCCTAGATATCCAAGACCTTGGGACTTGGGAGAGGTGAATTGGTGACCTCAACCATATATTTATGTACTTGCACTTCCCATAGTGAGGTAATGAATAAAATTGCATAAACCAAATTGCTGCTATTTGTAGAGAATATAGATTCCAGACTTCCTAATAAGAATACTAGCTTTTTTTCTTTAATTTCCTCTTTCTAAGAGATGGGGAAAAAAGAGGCAACTGGTATTATACAATAAAAAAGAAGATTATACCCAAGGGAATACACAAAGATGCAAAAGATATAAACAGGCAGCCAATCTCCCAAATGAAATTAACCAACCAGAGAACTGTCACCATATGGGGGAAAAACTCCTGGCCTCAGATCTGGCAATAGTATTTACTCTAAGTATACTTCAGTTGGTCTAGCTCATAAAAATGTATCAAATTAGTCTAATCAAATTGCATCATTTAAGCTACCTGTCTTTAAAGATGGTGGCCACAATGGATGCACCATGAATGGGTGGATTAGAGTACATGGGCCTGATCACAAGTTTCAACTGGCTCTCCACCCTGGTTGCAACATCTGCTGTCCTGCAGACCTGTAAAATGAAAATTTTGCACAACAACGAAGTTACATGAGAGCCATTGAGCCAGAGCGCATACAGTGCAGGTTAAGAAACTTAGTTTTTCTTTTCTAAAATTTTAAAATATAAATGGGTGCTTTCATGTTGGCTCTTTTAGTTTCTTACAATGCTTAGGGCACCAACACGCTCCCCATAGAGTCCCATGTTCTTTGCATAACTCTGAGCTGCAAGGCATTCACCACCATCTGCGACAAACATTCGAACGGATTGTGCATCTGTATCTAGGCTTCCACTTGCGAAACCCTATGTTGTCAATAAAATCCATTAGTTAAGTCCATTAACAATGGTACTTTTGTCTTTTCTAGTCACAACTTTCAAAACTTAACCACTATCCTTGTGCTATGTAAAAGCCTAGTTAATTTTGCATCTATAATTTCTTTGGGCTCAGAAAATCTCTGCTCTGTGTTGAGAACCTTGGAGCAAAATCGATTGAGATGGGAGATTTGGAAAAGTTTATATGATGTACCAATTAAATAAAAAAAAGAAAGGAATATAAATGGTCACAAAGGACATTTTGTAAGGGTTGCTAGGATGGGATGTTATGGCATGGAATGTTGCATCTCAAGATCTAAATTTGAATGTTTGCTGATCCAGAGTTAAGGACCTAGCCATCTCAGGCTAAGGCATTCAGATATTAGGCAAGATTTTTTGGCAATGCCACAAACAGCATTATCCTATTGAGAACAATAGGAAATAAATTTGCACTGATGCAAAACCATGGCAGTATAAATGAAGTAAATTAAGACAAGAAGCAGAATAAAGTAAAATCCAAAACAAACTTAAACAAGCATTTGCATTTTTTTACATTTGCACTCCCATGCATTTGTACTAGTGTAAATAAAATTGCACTGCAACCAAATTACCAAATACAGCCTTAGTGAAAGGATGCCACTATTATTTGTGAGGAAATCAACAGAAAGGTACTTTCTTAATAGGCTGGATGCATGAGACTGAGCTGGGGTTATTATTGGTTGGATTTGTATGGTATTTTCTTTTGGATTAATATCGTGTTTGTTGGTTAATGTGGGCTAGGTGCAATAGTTAAAACTTAGTTTAGTTCTTGTAGACCTTTTGTCTTTATTGGGTGATGTGAAGAACAACGAGAGCAGCTATTGTGTGGGCACTTTGGGAAGAGAGAAATAACAGGATTTTCCAAGGGCAAGAAAAAACAATGCTTCAAGTTATAAAAGGCATCACCATCAAGGTGATACATTGGCTGAAAACTATGGATCTCTTCAAGGATTTTTCTATAGATGACTTGCTTAGAGGCTGGAACATAGTAGCAGGCTCCTCCATCCCTCCTACTATTGTTAATGACGAGTGGACCCCACCCACACAGTTTTCTGTGAAACTGAACTTTGATGACAGCTCCAAGGGAAACCTTGGTCCTTCTGGAATTGGGGGTGTGTTTAGATATGGAAAGAAGAGAATTGGCCCTATTCTCTGGCTCTTTAGGGCTGAGTGGCTCACTAAGAGCAGAAGTAATAATGGCGCTCCTTCAGGGGCTCAGATTGGCTAAACAGTTGGGCTTCCAACCAAGGTTCAAAGTATCGACACGTATTGGCCCGTATCGGCCGACACGTATCGTTCCAGGACCCCTTCGATATGCCCCTATAGTGGGTGCATCGGGGGTCTGACTGGTTCAGGGTGTGGAGGAGGGCTGGATGCAAACAAGGAACTTGGGCGCTTGGCCCCTTAGACAGCATATAAGGGAAATAATGAATTTGACACGGGAGTTAGGATCACAATTTAACTGGGTTAGGAGAACAGCAAATGGATTGGCTAATGTTTTAGCAAAGCAAGGGGTTAATAGGGAGACTTTATTTTGGGCATGCTTATAATTTGATTATGTTATGAGGGGTCACCTTTTAGGAAGGTGGAAATTGTAATTTTATAATCTTAAACTTAATGAAAGTTACCGTTTCCTATCAAAAAAAGAGAATTTTTTTATTAAAGAATAAAGAAAAAACTGATTACAATGGGGATTTTCCCTCCTTTGGTACTCCTCATTCTGACTTCTCTTGTTTTGCTATAAATGTCATTAATAATAGGAAAAAAAGAACTACTGGACTTAGGCTTAGTCACAATTACCTGATAAGCACTATCAAAGAAGGGTAACAGCCCTTTTGATCTTACAAGCTGCCTGATATGCTCCCATTGTTCAGTTGTAGGATCAACACCAGTTGGGTTATGAGCACATGCATGAAGAAGCACTATTGCTCCTGATGGGGCAGAACCAAGGTCTTCAAGCAGGCCTGCAAGCAGTCAATAGTATAAGAAAACTCAAGCATACTACTATTCAAGGTAAAAACTGTAAAAAAAAAAGGTAAAAACTGTAAAATATTTCATTTAATCATAATTTCAAAATAAAAAAATGAATTATTCATCACAAGAAATGGATAGTCCATGCTAAGGAACTGTCAAAGGCAATCAAGTACAGTCCCAAACATAAGACCAGAAATAACAGTGTAATAGTATAAAGTCCAACAAAGAGAAATCCAAACCTTGGAAGTTCAATCCACGTGTGGCTGGATCATAATAACGATAAGACTTCACAGACAGCCCTGCCATGGTGAACACTTTGGGGTGGTTTCCCCATGTTGGCTGTGGAATATATATTGTACGCTGCAAGCAAGGTAGGCAGTTAAATTAAAGTATTCCTTCAAATAATCATCTTACAAAAGGAAACGGAGTGAAAAGGTTAAGCTCCTTACATTGTGATAATGTTTTACCAGAAATTCAGCTCCAACCCTCAGCGAGCCAGTTCCAGACAAGCACTGGACAGTTGCTATCCTATTTTCTTGAATAGCAGGGCTGTTTTCAAAGCAAGCAAACTATTACATTTAGCAAGAACCACAAGCATAAAGTACACAGAAATGTAATATTCGCTATATGGGAGAACAACTAAGGTACACAAGTATACTCAAGAAAATATAACTTTTTCTTGAAAAATTCTGAAGTATACATTTTTCCTTGTATGTCTTGCAACCACGAACCAGACATCTGGAATATTGTGGTTGGGGCCCACTTATTACTTACAGTTAGGGCGCACTGGCACCCATTTCAAATGTTACAATTTCCCATGTCTGGTATATGGTACATTTGTAAGGAATACAAGAGAACATTTATGTATGATTAAAATTGCTCCTTTTTATTATTCAAAGAAATAAGAGTTTTCTATGATCATCTAATACTTCATAGCCTCCCTTTTCTCCTTTTTACAAAAAGGCGCTTCTAGTTTTATCATTTTGAAGTTGTTCACTCCTTCAGTAATCCATAAGTTCAGTTTAGCAAGACAATTGCCAAAAAAAAAGGCTTTAAATTAAAGAAAGGGAGATCTAAGTTCAAAAGAAAAAAGAAAAAAAAAAAAACCCTGAAATCTTCAATTCTGTTATGGTAAATTCTAAATGTGCATAAATGTTGGGGATTCAATTTGCTTTAATTGTGAGTATTGTGTCTCAATGATGTTGCAAATATGTTGACTCTGTTATGAAGGCTACAGTTTTATGCCAAAATTACAAAGGACAACCATTTTATTTTGAGAGAAAAGAATCTAGCTTTCTTGATTTAACTAGTACCTTCAATTCACTGAAGAAAGCATATGAACAAATACAAATGACTGTAGAAGACACAATACAAAGTTCCACGGACCATATTCAACAGAATATAGGATTCATGCCAAATCTCTTGATAAGTTTTAACTTTTAACTGACATCTATAAAATCAACTTAGGAGTGTGTAGCATTTGTGGTTTGTACCTGTCAGTACCAAAAATGAGCTTAGCACTCAATTTATTGAAATCTGCCATTCCGGTAATGGGAAGATACTCTTTCACACGAGACCTGAACATTATGCAAATCAGAACTTAGTAAGTAATACGTACAAACTAAGAATAGAACAAATAATAATTTAACAGCTTACTGGTCATTTATTATCAACTGCTCCGCTCGTCTTACCACATTCAGAACAAGAGGTTTTCCTTCCTGTTATGAAAAATCAATCCAGCAAACTTTTACACAAGAAACAAGTAAAGAATGTGTGGTGAGCAAGTGCATTATGTGCCCATGCTTGCATATGAGTGCAATAACAGTTCAGAAATGTCAAATCAGAGAGACACACCTCTGTTCGATAAGCACCAACACCCAAATTCAACTTTACTGGGCTGGGATCCTTGTTATATGCAACAGTCACCTGTTTGGTTGAATTTACATCATAAATAATTAGCACTGATTAGAACAGTGGCGTCTTGGTTGTCAAAACAACAGTATAGAATATAATCAGAAATATAGCCTTCAATTTTGAAGCGAGTTACGGAGTTAGAAAAGAAACTTTGCAACTTTGCAACATCATATGCAAAGCAAGAAGACTTCTTTTTTTTTTTTTTCTTTTCTTTTCTTCATTTGGAAGTGCAAGCATGTTACTGGTCAGTTGTAGTTGAATAGGGGTTCTGATGTTAAATATAACACGCTTGCACACCTGAGATAAGTGCAATCCATCCTGCACTTACAGTTGCAACATTTTGTATGAACAGGAGGACCTTTAACAGTAATCAAGAAAGGCAGCAAGGTCACTCATAAAATACTTTTAGATTATATTCTTAAATTTTCCCACCTGAAAAGAATTGTATAACTTATCATCTGCAGCAATTTTTTTTAATTGTTATTTATGTGCCATGCAAAAGAAATAAAGTGGCAAAGAACCTCATGAGTACCTACAGTTTACTTCAGGCACACAATTAGAACATCCCTATCAATAACTATTGAGTTTTTACATAATACCTATAGAAGAACAAGGGAATGCCATCTTCTATTTCTTTCCCTGAAATATTACCAAATCTTAGATATACATGACTAAGTCATTATTAATCTAGTGTGATATTCCATTAGAAACGGAACATAGAATGCATAAACCAATGCTACTAAGTTCCTTTGAACATCACCGATAGATTAGAAAGTGGAGAACTATAAACGCCACAGAAAGAGACTAATTTATGTAATTTCTAATTATTGATCTCGATCAACTTCAGCGTAGAACCAACCAAGGATGATCTGAGAATTAAACACGTTATAAATGATCCACGATAAGAATCAGTCGATCACCGTTACATAATTCATCGAGGACCAGCTAATCTAATCAAACGCCAATTAGGACATCCAAAAACTCGGAAAAGACAAAGAAACCGTTTAAGAAAAATACTAGAAATTTAAAGTAAAACAGCAACGAAGAAAATAATCGAACGAAAAGCATCCAAAAGAATTAAAAAGAAAAAACGGCGGATCGAAGAGACTACCCCCAAGATGGGATCCTCGGGAGCTTGAACAATGTTAGCGAACACGGAATCGCCAGAGAAGGCCGCGGTTGCAGAGGGAGAGATGGCGGGATTAGGGTCTTGCGACTCCATGGAGGAAGCAGAGTGATCTCCGACACCGAGATGTCTGACCAGAGCACTTAACCTCCGATCAGTTGGTGAAGGTGAACCGTGGGCGCTGGATGGCGGGAACTGTGTGCGCATGTTAGTTATTATGCTTGTTTAAGATATAGAGTACGCTTATTGCAGAAACTCGGGCATTTTATAATGCGGAACGTAAGATGACGTGGCGAATGACGGAAGGTGTTACGTGACGTGACAACGTAGATGGGACTGTTGTCTGTTACGCGTGTGCGGCGATACGGCAAGTTAACCAAGAAGGAAAATCATGGACCCCACAGTTGCTACGACACTGTCACAGTCGTAGCGCAGAGCTAAAACAGAAAATCATGGCCTTCAAATATACTGCAACGACTCATCTAAGGCTTTGATTTACTTGTTTAAGCGCAGGGCTACGACACTGTCGTACCAAATGTGAGTTACCATGTGCGAGAAGATAGCGTGTTAATCCGTCGAGAATTGAGACGTGTGCAAATTGAAAACAAAGACGTCCCATAGGACCCACACTACCTTGTCCAGCTAGTCCCAGCTAGTCCAACTTGACAAGCATGACGATGGAGCGGAGGTCAAGGGCAAATCAGCTCCCCAGTAATCTTATGGGGGCTGATTGTCATCATGTCATCATGGATCGGGCCGGACTTGGCTTAACACATGTCCGAATGTAAGTGTAACGTGGGCTGGTACTGGCTTGATTCTGGCCTATAAATTTTGTCTGAAATGATTAAATATATATAATATTTTAAAGGGTTTAATTATGATGCTAGAAAGATATGATATCCAAAAAAAATTATAACCAATCAAGCGATATCATAAAAATGGGTTTTGATTGATCAAAGCCCTTGAGGTGTCATGTCTTTTAGCATCATAAATTTTTCCTATTTATATTATGTAGTATAATTTGTGTATACAATTTATTTTAGACATTATATAATATAAAACATTATATGAAATATTTATTATTGGTGTCGTATTATAACATTTATATAAAATACATAAAATAACATATATTTATAAATTATGTATAACGTATATATAAATATATGTAGGACAAGTCTGAAGTATTGGATCCGGTCCCAACTGTGAAATTTGTAGGCTTAATGCAGGCTAGTCTGAACACAAAACCTAACCCCAAGCATAGAATTTTTAGGCTAGGCCAGGCCAGGCCATGCCCTATCAGAACCGGGCTGAAAGAATGACCCCTAATATCAGCCCCAATATCCAAATTTCCTTATCATCACATCAACAAAGAACTGAATTTTGCTCCTATTATAAAAGAGGAAAAATCCAATTCACAGTCGATGTCAGTGTTAAAGCCATCTATAAAAATTTTCAGGAACAAGAAGGCGTGGCCTTGTCATCAGTGGATGAAACAAGTCCGGATTACCTTCCAACACCCTACCAACATCATCTGACACCACTCATCTCTTACATGGTGGATTCCACTTTTATGGTGAATCCCAATTTCATAGTCAGATGTGCATGTCTTATTAAGTTGGTAGGGTGTTGGAACTTGTTCTATTGGCAGGTTATCCACCTCGAATGGAACTGTTTCCTCTTTTATAATAGGAACAAAAGCTTTTTCCATCAACCAAGTTACCTAATGGAAACAAAAGCTAAGAAAGTTTATATGCTATATTTCAAACACAGTCAAAGGAAACAAAAAAAAAAAATCTATTGAAATTTTGAAATCCTCCTAGCATGACAATCCATCGGCAGAAACCATCTCCTGCATCAACAACCATATTACTTAACGGTAAGCCGTTAATATTATCAGTCTATCCATTATAAAAATTTTGGTTTATCTGGTTTATAATCCAAAGGGGTGACCATAAGAATTGTCAAGGGATTCTGATAATTCAAGAGTCCGGATTTCATACCCATGACGACTCTACTCACATCTATCCACATGAGATCGCAGCCATATATAGGGAACATCTCATGCTATATTACATGTTATGCATGGGGAGATGTTCCCAATGCACAGGGGCAGTGTTTTGTGAGTAGGTGTGGATAGAGTTCTTGTGAATAGGAAATCTGGAGTCATAATTCAATACCCCACTCGACATTTAAAGATCAAGACCATTTGATAAGTATCCTGGTCTATCATGGTCTACCAGACTGTAAAATGAAAAATTTTAGGCTGGTAAAGATGGATAGCTCTATTTGAAACTTCCCAATTTTTAGCTGTCTTGGGCTTCTGCAAGCTTTAATTTCTAGGACACAGGTCTTTTTGTCTTCCCGTCTTTCAGTCTTTCACTACCAAAGGAAAAAAGACCATTTTTTGGTTCAACAATCTTTGAAAACCCCGAAAGATCTTCCAAAGACTTATCAAACAGGCCCAAGAATGGAAGAAATAATAATTTAACAATTTACCGCCATTTACCATCAAACAGATCATCTCGTCTCACTAATAACACTTTAGAAATATCAAATCAGAGAGACACGCCTTTGTTCAATAAGCACCAGTATGCAACAGTCACCGGTTTGGTTGAATTTATATCATGGGTTCGACTATGATACCATCCAATCAACCGATATCATAAGAGAGGTGTCCAATCAGGTAATCAGGTAGTGTTCATCAAAATTCACCGGAGTGTTTTGATTGGTCAAAGCTCTTCTGTTACCATGACCAAATATGTCATCTTTGGTCGTTTTTCAGACACGGGTGGGTCATACCCATACAATGCTATCTAATCCTTTCATGTTGATCCAAACCGAAAGCAAACATTAATTAAGAAGATTTCAAGTAGCTGTAGGCTGTGTCAGCCTTAATACAGTTTTCAGTAATAATTAAGCTCACATATAATACCTGGTTTACGGATACTTAAGGTTTCAAGTATGCAGTAATCTAGCTGTGAACCCACTTACAGTAATAGTGAAACAAAAATGAACCTTGATTTACAAAAGAAAGCAGAGTAGTGAGTAACCACGAGGTAACATGACGAGTAAGCATCACTTAGAGCAGGGTTTTCATTTGATTAAGGCTCTGTGCTTTAGAGATTTAGGACTTGGTGGGCATAATTAAATAAATGAGGGGAATTGATGAATTCTCCCAACTATTCTCATAGGAACTTGAAATCATAGCTTTTCTGTAATTCTTCCCTTTGTTTAATTTCAAAATCAGGGCAAACCCAAACTCGATGTAGTTGAAACTAAATTCAATTTTGTAATACATGAACAGATGAAGAGAAAATTCACTTTTGCGTTGAAACTTGAAAGCAACAGATTATAAGTTAAAAGGGCTGCAACATGATTGGCTTTGTTTTACTGATTTGGCAGTTGCTTTTGATTTGGAAAACAAAATCATACACATAGGCGAATAAGCCCCCAAATGGTTGGTTAAAGAATTTCAATGGAAGAAAAGAATTTGGTGACGAATCTGAGAAAATTAACAGCTCTTAAGCAAATAAAGAACAAGCACGACTGAAGATTCTAAGCCCGCCTAAGTACACCGAGTCACCGACTCAAAGCTGAAATGAGAGCAGAATGGTAAAACCAGAAGGAAATCTCTTCTCAGCTCACAAGAAACCCAATGGGGTTGAAATGGAAAGTGGTCCTCCGTTGGAGCTGATGGGTAAGTAGTAAATCCCCATAGAAACTGGAAAGCCTCACTCCAGTTTTATTCTGTCCATGTCATTGATTGTTTCTTCAAGCTGCATTTTAATCATGAAAGACAACGCAGCATAATAGTATCTCAAAGAAAGTTTCCTGAGGAGAGTAATAACAACGAACAAAAAAGCAATAACAGAAGCATACCTTAACAATCTGACGCATGAAGTAATCACCATACTGCTTTGCTGATTTGGACTCGATAACATGTATCACGTCCTGCATTGATAGAAATCATGAAAAAGACAAGCCTCACTCAAAATGAATTTAATTACTTAATGTGTTAGTCCAATGAAATCAAGTAAATCATGCATGGACAGATTAAAATTTTGCACTTCCAATGTTTCTTTGCCTGGCACAATTTTGTCAACTAAATACAGGCTTCCCACTTTTGATCAAGGTTTTTCCTTTATCAGTTTATCTTGTAGTCATGATAACAGGAAGGAAACAAGTAATTACATGAACTGAACAGCAAAATTGAATTTTTGTGACTAAGCATACATACATTGTTAATGTAGAAGTCCACATCAACATTACAAATTATCCTTCCATCACTGTCAACAGTGTGCGTCTTGTGCTTGTAAGTCATTAATATTGTCCTACAGTTCCAGGAAAACCTCAAAATGCGACTCAGATCATGGCAACAGTCAAAATAACAAAACAAGAGTTAAAAGCAGTATTTTCTTCCACATCATTCGATACCAACCTCAGAGTGGATTCATCTACTTCCAAATAAGTTGCAAGCTTCCCAATTGAGATGGTAGAGTGCAACTTCAAAAAGGACTGCACACCTGATAATAGTTGTTGTTGCTTCACTTCATAAAGGAACAGCTTTAATTGAAGTCTATAAGCATCCTGCAATACAGAAGAATACCATCTATAGCAGATACCAAAATATTGAAAATATCCTATTAGATACAATAGATTAAGCATAGACAAGATCCAGAGAAAAGAAATGGATACAACAGATTATATCTCAATGCTCAAGAGTAAACCTTTACCTATTAGCCTATCCTAACACAGGTGATGAAATTATTAGGTTAAATAACAAGGTAACTAACCACCAAGAAAAGAACTAAGCTGAACTTGTATTATTTATGTTTATAGTAAATGCTGAGAAGGAAAATTCCCATAGTTATTTCATTGAAGGCAAAAGTAACAAATCATGTTGAATACTTCAACTTTTAGTGTAAACTCTGTATCCTATACCTTGTCCACTCATGACCTTGATGTATCTGAGTAAATAATCCTTAACTAGCCCGTAAGTGGAGCAACTTTTAGTGTAAACTCTGTATCCTATACCTTGTCCACTCACGTCCTTGCTGTATCTGAGTAAATAATCCTTAACTAGCTCGTAAGTGGAGCAACTTCATAAACTAAAAATCAATGAATAGGCTAAAATCTCGAGTCACTTGGGAAAAAAAATGTCATTTTATTTTTATGAGATTAAAACTGTTGGAACCACATTGATTAATGGGAACCACACACAACCACTCCTGGATGGAAGCTAAATAAAAGAAATTGTTAACAATCATGGATCACTTATCACCTACATGAAAAAGAGACATTGCAGAAACAAGTCCACTAGTACATTAGAAGCAACGAAAATATCTAAATCTCCTTAAATCTCTAGATTCAAGAGCACTTTAATCATTTGTTCAATTTAAAATTAGGGTCAATATTTACAAATTTCTATGCACTTTCAGGAGATTGTTTCAAGTCAAATATTTAGTAGCAAAAAAAGCTAGTTTTATGGCCTATATGATAAGATTTAAGAAGACCATCTACAGCACCAGTAAGAATGAGAGATCGGTTGCAAGTTGAAGAATCTAGAAAAAATAGAGGATTGCCAAAAAAGGACATTGGTCAAAGTAACAAAAATGATTTTAGAGCCCATAATTAGCAATTGATGTGATACTAAATAGTAAATAGAGCGGAATGGAAGAACCAAATTAATGCAGCTAACCCCATATAGTTGGGACGAACTTTTTTTAGCTGAATTGAATTTTCTTAGTATTAAGATTCAGCTCAACACAAGTCAACTTGATCCAGCCTTAAGCCTAACTGTCTGGTGTCAGCTAGTCAGCTACAGAAATCCTGTCCCTACATTGTGCTCTACCAGAGCCACATTTTATATTAAACATTAAGTCCTTAGATCATTTCTTACCACTCCAGCCCTTCTGGTTGCACCAAGTCACTTCTTACGGGTGCAACCATCTGACCCAGGCAGCACACATCTTTTGAAAATATTTCTTGATTCACCAGCACTGTCCAAGCATTTGACTCCAAGATTATAATAAGGCACTTGTGATTTTTGTTACCTGGGTGGGTACTTAGTCACCTAGACAGAGACTGATAGATGCCTTTTTGCTATAAGTCAAGATGTACAAGGCTTCAAGCTAGGTGCCCAACCAAGAGAGCCTTGGTGACAGCTTGACGACTATGCATGAAATTAAAACTGTGATTTTATGTAACAACAACAAAGAAGTAGGTAACTGCCAATAAATAATAAAATCAGTGGGCTCCTACAGTCCCAAGTGTTTTTAAGCTAGTATAGAAGGTAGTACCTGATTATAATTTACAAGAGGTTCCTCAAAAATAGGAGCAGATGGGGTTATGAACTTTGGACATGCATATGAGAAAAGTTCATCATAGAGAGCATATGCCTCATCATCATACCTCTGCATTCTCAGCATTTTCTCACCATACTTCTCCCTTAATTGATTGTTTACATTTTCCTCAACAAGCTTCACTTGGGGGCAGAGAGAAAGACAGATTGCTAGCAAGGCATACATCTGCTCATTCTTCTTCAATATCTGCTCATACTGAGGAGATTTCTGATGATATTGCTTGGTCTTATAAATATACAGGAGAATCTTGTTGAAATCACGAATTGCCTCCACGTACCTGTGAAATACTAACAAATAAGTTGGTGCCAGATCAACAAGACAAGAGTAACAATGACAAAATATTCAATGGATACAAGGATTCTTGAAAGACTTGAGATAGAGTATTTGAAATACAAGGCACCTCCCTAGTAACCAAAACAAAACATCCCTTCCTTTCTGATAATTAACAAATATAGAGAGAGAAAAGAAGAAGTAAAAGATAGCAGATTGTGGGGTTGGTTTCATTCATGCACATCAGGGTCAAAAGGGAGTGTTTTTTGTGCTCCTTGCCCAAGTGGAAAGGTTCTTGTGGTTATTTTCATTAATGCACACAAAAAACTTTTTTTTGCCTCCTCTTTTTTCTTTTTCTATATATTAGGGCTGAAGGCCAAAAGGAATACCATGTTGACTGAAAGTAGAAAATCTCAATCTATGGGGATGGGATGGGTGGGGGTGGGGCAATTTTTATTGTTGGTTCAATATTCATAAGAGCATTTTTCTGATCCTTAGTGCGGTAGTGCCATGGTAAAATCTCAGGTCGACAAGCATGAGTATGCAGGAATGAATACAAGAGCAGCCATTTCGTGCAAAAGAACACTTGAGATTAGTTCTGTATCCCCTCTTTGTGCACATGCGCAAGGGCCTTCTAGCACCCAAGGCACAAGGCAACACTCACACCTGGATGAAGCAAGGTACAAATTTTTTAAAGAAAAATAAAAAATAAATAAAAACATCAATACATAAAAGCTATGGAAACCTCAATTTTGAAAGAAACAAAATGTTTTGAAAAGCTTATTAGGCCATAGATAAAAAAAGCTTATTAGAAAGTGAAAGTGAAAGCAAATAAATGTAGATTGTACCTAAGTGCTTCAAGCTCTCAACAATTCAAGCATGTGTAATTTCAAGCATGTTTGCCTATCTCCTAGTTGCATCACTTAGTGTGATGTTAGACATCTTGCATTCCTAATCAAAGGAGGACGGATCCTTTACATTGATATCTCTTTAAGGCCCCATGACACAAGTCCAAAGTCTAAACAAACCCATGTAGGGAGTTCGGAGGCATTGGCACCAACCTGAATTTTTTGCTCATATATACAAATTGGATCAGCTTTATGATTTTGGTTGCAATTCATTCTACTTTAGGGTTGGGGACTAGATATCAGATGTATTGTTAATTTTTCCTTAGTAAAAATTTCACTAAGACCCTATTCACAGCAACTAGGGTCCAAAGGTCTTTGTTTTATGTTTTTTTAAGAGTTAATAGACCAGTTTTAGTGCATAGGTATCAATAAAAGATAATCTAGAAGTTATTAGACCATTATAAAGGTTTAAAACACATATGAATGTATAAAAGAGAAACCAAAAGGTCAAACTTATAAAAAGACATATGCGTGGGCCAAGGTGCAAGGTACACTAGGCAAGCACCTTTTGAAAGGGGTGGTTGCTGTGTTGAAACAAGGGCACCTCACATGTGCACCTAGTCACACCCTTTGAAACATTGCCAAGACCCCAAATAGCTGGGACCAGCATTATTAATGCCATTGCTTATTGTTGGCATCTTCAATTAAATATATGCTCCCACACCAAGACCATTAATCTTCTTACTGCCAGCTCTTGCTGCAAGAACTCCATCTCATCATCACTTCAACACCACTTAATTTTCAGAAAATATATACTTTCTTACTTGATCCTGTTTACGATAAGAAATCATTTCCCATTGCACTAACTATTTCTATAGACAACTATAATTGGCTTCTTTCTAATTCTTAATGTAATGTAAAGGAGATTCATAGTAGTTAACCACCATTTCATCAATCATTTTCTTCTTTTATGTAGTAAGCCATAAAGCAACATAATTGAGGTTCAAAGTGAGAATACTTGGACAGTTCTCATGTTATTGACTCTTTAGATTCTTTGTTATGAGAAACCACCATAACAAAGAGAACAAATGCATTTTGCTTTAGGATATCATAACAAAAGGAGGAACTAGGGCAGTTTTCATGTTATTGAGTTTTTAGATTAACAGCATAACAATCAGGTATTTACACCATAACAAAGTGTTAAAACTTGGATAGTTCTCATGTTATTGAATCTTTAGAGTCACATTTGGATAATCGTTTGACTAAAATAAGAATGCAAAAAAAAGGAAGGGACACTGGAAGTATGCCAGTATACCCATGTAGCCAACCCAACTAAAGAACAAGAAATGCATAAAGAAAGCATGCCTGAGAAGGCAACTTACCTTCTCAACATAAGGTTTGCAAACCCATAGTGATATATAGTAATAATGTGGCTTCCAATAACACTGGTATAAACACCTGATTGACTGATGTCAATGGGAAGCAAACACTTCAAACCAGTATGATAATCACCGAGAAGACAATGAACTCGCAGCAATCCCACCATGCTGAAATAACCAAGCACCTTCAAAACATTACTCCCACCACTGTAATCATACCCATCAGTTGCAGTGAACTGCTCTAGACCCTCTTTCTCTTGCTCCAAGATCTGGATGATCATGGACTTTTCCACAAGTGCTTGCAGGTAATTGAGCACACCAAACACATTCCATGCCTGTAACAAACAGCCAATTATTAAAGTCCCTATAACAGTTGATATTTCAGAAATGGATCCTATTTGTTAATGTAACTGGAAGAGTAGAAAATATTAAGCATATAAAGTAGACTTTCAAGCATCCACTCATGGACATTTGCAGAAACTGAGCTGCACATGCCACAGAGATGAGCCACGATAAGAAGATGCTGGGATCTCCAATATAACCACAAAAGCAGCATAAACAATCCAAAAGAAAACCACCAAGAGATTAAAATCACCATGGTCATACATAAACAGGTCAAGAAGTATATTCCTTTTTCTCTTTTTTTTGCTGAGAAAAATAAATATTCCTATGGGTGTTCAGTTTGGAAAGGAATTGAAAAGGTCTACAACTTGTTTGCAAAAGGTGTGAAGTTGAAAATAGGAAATGGGGAGAGGGTCAAATTTTGGAAGGATGTTTGGAGTTTGGTATGGGGATAGATCCTTGTCCGAGAGCTTCCCTGCTTTGTCTGAAGTGACAGTGGACAAAGAAGTCAAGGTTGCTGAAAGCTTGCAAATTCAAGATGGTAACTTGGTCTGGACCCCACAGTTCAGGAGGAACCTAAACGATTGGGAAGTGGATGAATGGATGGAACTACTTCGGTTGTTATATAGTACACAGGTGGAGTTTGCCAGGTCTGACAGAAGAATCTGAAAGTGGGAGAAGGCTGGAAGATTCACAGTTAAACCCTTTTATAAGAGGTGCAAGAAAGCAAGAATGCTTTGGAGCTGTATCCCGTTTGCAATTTGTTGGAATATTTGGAGAGAGAAATAAAAGGGTTTTTGAAGAAATATACTGGAATTTGGACAAGATTGTGACAGCTGTTAGCAACTTGGTTGCAGATTGGGTTCTTGCTACGGAGGATTTGGGGGATAATTTGGGATTCCATCTTTTTTAACTTGGATAGCTATTTGTAATTCTGTAATTCAGCTCCCTAGCAGATTTCTTTTATTTTTGCTTCCATATGATTTGCAGGTAATGCCTCATCACCTGTTGGATGTTATCACTCCTTTTTCTTTTAATGAATTTTTATTTTATCTTAAAAAATCCTTTTATAAGGCCTCGGTCAATGCAGAAGGACATTCAGTCCCAGCTCATATCATCTAGTGTAAAAAATGAGCCTTCAAAAATATCTTTCTTTGTTTGGACAGCTTATCTCAATAGAATACTTACAAGGGACAACCTTACCCAAAAAGGTGCTATACTGGATTCAGCTAGTTGTGTTCTATGTGGACGGCTGGAAACAGTGGATCACCTTTTACTGCACTGCAGCTTCTCCTTTGGGATTTGGAACAGAATTTCAAATTTGTTTGAAGTACAAAGTTGCTGCCCGGGATCAGTAGAGGACTTTGTAAAGGGTTGTAGGGTGGAAGGGCTGAGTGAAAGAGGAAAAATAATCTGGAATATAACCCCAGCAGTGGTTTTCTGGTGCCATTGGCAAGAAAGAAATGCACGAGTCTTCAAGAGCAACATAAGTTCTCCTGATTCCATTTTTCAGAAATTTGTGGGAAAGATGTTCTCTTGGTTTGCTGGTCACAGGTTGCTTAAGGGTGTAGGTTTTGAATCCGTTTTTGTACAGGATAATCTTTTTGTAAAGTAGGGTGGGGATCAAGGTTAGAGGGAACACCGGAACAGTTTTTCTTGTTTCCTGAGCACATCATCTTGCTGTACATTTTTTTGTTCATACTAATACAATGATACTTTACCTTTACTCAAAAAACAAATAAATAAATAAATAAGTAATCCTTCTAATTACAAAAAATCTTCAAAAGAATTGCAAAAAAAAAAAAAAATCCCAAACTAAAATTCATCTACAACTGACCCACCAAACCCAGTGCAATTTCATAAATAATATTTCCACACTAAAGGAAATAACAAACCGTAAAGAATTATCAAAATTATCAGCAATGCAGCCAACAATGAGAGGAAATTTACGGAAACACACTCAATCCTATATATATATATATATAAAACAAATTTTTTCTATTCTAAGTTAGTCCAATTAAGTAAGACTAGCACCTGATCGTACTGTCTGAGAAGAGCAATCTCCTGCTCGGTCTTGCTCTTCATCTTTGCCCGGTACTGACAAAACGACTGGAACTGATAAACGAACTCATCAATCATATCCCACAGCCATTGATTCGGCAACTGCATATTCACCACGCCATGTAACACCACCTGAAACAAGCTACAGTAATTGTCCCACGAATCAATCCTCTGCTTCGGCGTCGGTGTCAATCTCGCGTAGAGATGCCGAAACCACATCTCCTGATACAGCAAACAGAAGACATGGTCGTTATCTACGTACGGTGCCACTGCATCGACAGATGGCCAGGGACTGTCCTTGAACATCCGGTCGCTGAGCTTCTGGAATGAACCCTCGTACATCTGATGAATCTCGTAGACGTTCTTCTCTCTAATGTGCCTGTACAGGTGAACAACGAAGGTCTTAACAGAGTCGGGGACGAAGTTCGGGTCGTAGCCTAGGTCCTGATGCAGCCTGTGACCTCCGCCCATGTCTTCGTACCCGTCTCCGTCATCGTAATCGTAGGAGTTCACCATGACTGTTCCTCTAGTTTTGAGCTTTTGGGTTCTGCACAGTGTCCGAACCGGAGGAGAATATCAGGGCTTTTGTCCAGAAACTAAAACATCCGGTGAGGATGAGAATTTTTCTTTACCGGTTTGCCCTAAAACAGAAGCGCGGCAATTTCACCAACTAGGATGGTAGGCCCCACCAGCACCAAGAAAGGCTTAGTGCCATATGATTGTCAACCATCTGAAGAGGAGAGGATAGATCGTACGGTTAGGAATCATCTGCTAAGATCAGAGTATACTGGAGTACTGGATCGTCATGAACACGAGCTATCACTTTTGCAGGCATAATTTTCTCATCATAGAATCCAGCCGCACATTTGGAGCATCTTCAATTTAACGTAGATATGCGAGAGATATTCCTACTGGTGCCCGTTTGGCGTTAATAGTAGTTGGGACCCGTGCGACGCAAGGGTTTTGTCGTATGTAATCGTATAGACTTGTTCAGACTTCAGAAGCCAAGGTAAAAGCCCATTCAAAAATGACTATATAAAATTATATACATAAATTCTAATCAAATTCAAGTCCAATTAACCCAATTCAATAGGAGCCCAGCCTAACTCGAGTTGTGCTGGAGTCCATTAAGATTGGATTAAGCCCATAACCTCTAGTTGATTAGAATTTAATGGGCTTACCTCAATTCTAGAATTGAGGCTTGGATAATTGGACCTGAATTTAACCTCAAGTTGAATTTAATGGGCCAGCTCAAGTTAAGACCATAATGGGTTTAGGCTTGGGCCAACTCGAGTTGGGTTTAGACTTCGATAGGTTGGATTAAGCCCATATTAAGATTGGATTGATAAATTTGGATTTAACCTCAAGTTGGCCCAAGCCTAAACCCGAGGGTTGCACCTTTAGGATTGGGCCTACGTTGACCTACAACCAAACCCAACTTATCCAAGTTGCACCCCTAGTCTTTTATTAGGTTTATAAATGGGTCAATCAATATAAAGTAATTAAATTTATAAGAACTTAACGTTAAGTAAATTATTAGGTTAGTAAAATTTATTTTGGTTAATTAATTTTAATTAAGCTAATTTAATTTAATGAAACTTAGTTTTTGATAATTTAATTATGTGATAATATAGATTTGTAATAATTTAGTTAACTAATCAATTAAATAATAATAAAGTTACTTAAATTTCATTATCAAACAATTATATTATTTGATTTTTAAAGCCAATTAATTAATTAGGTAATAATTTGCTTTAAGTTTTGTCGCTAAAATATAATAATTTGGTTTAAGATGATAAGCTAACTTGACACATTACACATGTAACCTTACATTGGCTTCATTTAGTGCATCTTTCCGTGTGGACTATCACCTACTTAGAAACCTGATAACTTGCGTTTTGGTATTTTCCTGTTTGATTGGAAAAAGATTTAGCCACCAAAAGATGATACCTCAAAAAGACACACAAAACCCATTTTGGACTATTTTTAGAAAGTTCCAAATAGAATTTTTTGACTTTTTTTCATCATGTCTTCGTACAAGAAGACGCACCTTAATCAAACAATCTTCATGCTGTTAACATCTTAATACAAAAGCTCACATCATCTTATAATTATCAGGTCTTTTAGGTAGCTCAATTCATATATTTTATTGACAGTATAAGATAATATGAAAATTGACTCGTTTATAACCTTGCCTTCCACCCAGCCCATAAAAAAAAAACGTAGGGTTGGGAGACCCGATCCAAAACTTCCTAGCCCAAGTTGGAGTTGTCGTTGCTCGACACATCAACAATTAATTGTAACATATAGACCTGTTCATAGGCCGGGTCGGGCCGGGCTTTCACTTGTCACTAATGAAAATATACTAGGCCCGAGCCCGAGCCCGGCCCAACCAACGGGCCTATAACTTGGGCCCGAGCCCGGCCCTGGTAAAAAGCCCGAAGCCCGACC